CTAGAAGGATCGGTGATGTGTGCAGAACACAGGCATGGCAGGACACTCTACTTAAATATTAGTTTGTGGCTTTGTCCCCTATATGTTCCCATGTTCCTCATTTTCAAAGTTTTGGGCCACCCACTTTGTGGTAATTTGTTATAACAGCACTTGTAAGCTGACACATCTAAGAAGCCTGGACCTGTGACAAGGATGTTTGGAAGCCCTGGTCCTTTATGAGTCCGGCAGCCTAGACCAGCAGAAAGCTCTGCTATGCTGATTTCAAGGACATAACAACATGTAACTTAACCAGAGCTTCTGGGCTGAGTCAATTCCACTTCTGGGTATTTATGCAAAGAAAGCAAAAACACTAATTTGAAAAGATAGGGCACCCCTATGTTCAAGGCAGCACTATTTACAACAGCCAAGATATGGAAGCAACCTAGGAGTCCATCAGCAGATGAGTGGATAAAAATCTGTGGGACATGTACACAATGGAATACTACTTGGTGGTAAAAAGAATGAAATCCTGCCATTTGAGGCAGCATGAATGCTAAGCGACATCGGTCAGAGAAAGACAAATGTGGAATGCTTTCACTTACATGTGGAATCTAAAAAAACTACAAATAAATAAACAACCACAAAGCAAGCCCATTGATATACAGAACAAGCTGATGGTTGTCAAAGGGTAATGAGTGGGGGGGTTAAAACAAACCTTCGTGGTTCACATGCAGTTGGAAATAGAGAAACTCCCCAGGGCTTACTCTTAAGAACTTCTTTCTTAGAAAACCCAAGTATATTTCTCTCTTTATTCTATTGATCCCAGTGGAGATTAAGTCTACTCATTACTGAGCCAAATTCGGGCAAAAGATCAGGGTGGTCATGATTGACCAAAACTGATTCGCTGGCTTAGCAGGCTCTTGGTCTAACATAGGTGAGCAGTGTGGCATGTGTGGTTCTGCTGATGCAAACGCCCCCGAGACTCTCAGGGCTGGAAGGGGGTTCAGGAGTTAGGTCCTACATTCTCTGTGATGCCAAATCTCCTGTATGCCTTCCTTCCTTCCTTCCTTCCTTCCTTCCTTCCTTCCTTCCTTCCTTCCTCTTTCTCTCTTTCTCTCTCCCTTTCTCCCTTTCTTTCTTTCTTTCCTTCTTTCTTTTCTTTCTTTCTTTCTCTTTCTTTCTTTCTTTCTTTCTTTCTTTCTTTCTTTCTTTCTTTCTTTCTTTCTTNCTTCCTTTCTTTCTTTCTTTCTTTCTTCTTTCTTTCTCTCTCTCTCTCTTTTATTTATTTATTTATTTATTTTTCTTTTCTCTTTTTAATATGTCTTAATTGATTTCAGAGAGAGGAAAGGAGAGGGAGAGGGAGAGGGAGATAGTAACATCAATGATAAGAGATTCATTGATCGGCTGCCTCCTGCATGCCCCCTACTGGGGATGGAGCCCACAGTCCCAGCATGTGCCCTGACCGGGGATCGAACCATGCATGATCCCCTGGATCCTAGGTCTATGCTCAACGGATGAGCCATGCCCTTTGGGCTCCTGTATGGCTCTCTTCACTGTCAAGGTGGCACATGCTGCCTGGGCAGCCCACCACAGTTAGGTCATTGGCCCATGACCTGCGAGGACTGCCAATCAGATTCCTCTTCTAGAAAAACTAAAGCCCACAGTAGATGAACAGTAGGGAGTGAAGCTGAAAGGACTGCCAAGATGTAGAGGGGCTGTGGCCACAGACATGCTGACAACTTTTAAAGCTGACCCCAGGACTTAACAGAGAAAACCTATGGGCAGGGAGAGAACAGAGCTTGGGGTGTGGGGCAGGGAGCCAGAGAGAGCCAGAGCGAGAGCCAGGCTGTCTCTCTCCTCAGGCTTCCCACTTTCAGCTTTAGTCTGCACATTCCCACGTTACCTCTTTTTATATAAGGAAAGTTGGGCCAGTTCCTCACAGCCCCAAGAGCCCCGAGTAAAACATTGTCCAAAACACCAGGCACCACGTGCCAGCAGCTCTGAACTCACCTTGGACGAGCAAGGCAACCCTTTGCTTTTCTGCACAATCACCCAGATGGCATCAGAACCCATTAGGATCTTTCCACTCTGCTGTGCCAGGGAGGGCGTGGGGGCAGGGTGAGATCAATTTCCTTAACCTATTACCGAGAGCTTGGCTCTTGCTCTGAAAACATGGGGAGGGGAAAGGGGAAGGTTGAATCAATGTCGGGGTTCCCTGGGGGAGTCAGTGTGCAGACACCCTCAGCAATGACTCATACCAGTTGTCCTCTGGCAGTGCCTATTGGGAGACATGCTCAGGATGACGAGGAGGATGATTGTGTACACACACTCTTGATTCAGATCTGGGCTCCTGAAAACGGTCCAGGGGCACCCGAAGGATCTGCTCCAAAAACTAGGGTGAAGGGGAGAGGCCCTCTCTGCTACCTCCTAAGACATTCACTGTAACAGAAAGGAAGTGGGTGAGAGAGCCCATCAGACATCTGGGAAAAGATGTGTCTGATGGGCATCTCCTTATGTAGATTCAGTGATGATTTATGCATGTTTCACCACAAAGTCACTCAATAAGTTTTCCATCTCACTGTGGAGTCATCGAGGAGAACTGCCAGGAGCCCTGGGCTGAAGTAGAGCTGCCTGGTCCTTGGCTGCAAAGTGGAACCGCTGAATGATCTGGGGCCACTGTCCTGCCCAGCCTGATCCTCCGCAGACGCTACCAGGATAGGAGTAGAGTCTTATGTTAGTTATTATTGCGTTTTCTATTTTCCAAAGTGCTTTCGTGTACATTATATTATCTGATCCTTGTCATAAACAATACTTCTTTATTAATCCATCCAGGAACTTTTTTATTGAGCATCTACCATGTGACAGGCGTGAGATGGGTGCTGCCATCAGCATGGAGCAAAACTCGACACTTCCCGTGTCCACAGCAAGCTGGGTCAAAGCAGAAGGCAAAGCAGCCAGCTATATAATCATGCAAATCAACAGGGAGCTAGGCAGTTGTCCCCAAGGGCAGCAGGGTGAGCGCTCTCGTGTTTTGAGGATGACTCAGAGCTGACAATGCCCAGAGCCTCACATCCATCCAGGTGCTGAGTCTGAGAGGTCCCAGTTAGAAGAGGCCAGAAGATGCAGTCTCCGACAGAACAGTAGTTGGTGCTCCCAAGAAACTGCCCTGCTCCCCTCCTCCCACACAGGAAAGCATTTTGGGGAATGCCAAGTGTGGTGAACAAAAACCCTGCCTCATGTCTCAGGACGAGCAAAGCCCACAGATGCTTCTAGGGAGGCCAAAGGGCCCACACCCCTCTCTAGAATCAAAATAAAAACCATAAGGGTCATTAAGCACCCCAACCTTTCCTCTCAAACTCAGGGAGGGTAGCAAACTTGGCCAGGTCCCAAGCCCACAAGGCAGGTGGCAGGACTCCTTGAATAATTCTTAGATTCACATGCTTTTTGTTTTATGTTTTGTTTTGTCCCCCCCTCCTGCCATGTTTGCCCTCCCCGCCCCCTTTCAAACCCAACTTTCTCTCCTCTGAGTGCTTCTCCTTTTCTCTCCCAAGGCCCAGAAGTGTTCCCCAGCACCGCCGCCCCGTCTCCAGGGCTGGCCGTCATGGACATTGTTCGCTTTTATTGAGCCCTTAGTTTTAAGGGTCTGACCTGTATGAATTCACTTACTCATCACAGCAGCGCTATGTGATGGTCAGTTACCAGGCCAGGTTCACAGATGAGGAAAGTCAAGCGCAGAGCTAAGTAAGCTTAGGGGTTCTGTAACTAGCCTGAGACCCCACATCCTGCGAGTGGCAGCACAGTATTGGAACCAAGAAGTCTGCCCCAGCCCCCTGGCCTGAAGCCCTCTGCTAGGGCATCTCCCTGATGAATGATGGCCCAGAAAGTTCTCTCCCCTTCCGTTCCAACAGCCTGACCTCTCCGCTGGAACAATGGAAGCTGAAGAATTAACTGACCCTTAGGCCAAGCCGAGCCTCTTTCCTCTTAGCATTACTCAGAAAAGTTGTGAAAGAGGTTAAGTCCAGTGAGGTGACAAGACCTGTACAACCAGAATCCTTTTAATGCCTCTTACATCCGTGTCCAGGATAGCATTCTGCCATTGAGCAAGATGTCTCCAACTCCCCCACAAAGGAGGGAGAGCAAAAACCCCTCAAATCTGTCCCCAAGGTGATCTGGTCCTAGAAGCCCCAGCCCCAGGCCACCTTGGGGCCAGCCCTCCCGGGGCGCCCCAGCTCTGAGTCTGGGAGGCACAGGGCAGGCAGGCTGGTGGGGCGGGGGCCCTGCACTGGGCCAGCTGGCCCGCCGCGCTCCTCCCCTCCACCTCTTCAAATCCCACCGCGAGTCTCCGCATCCTGGAGCTAGTCGGCGACTCGCACAGTCGCCAGCAGGGGGACCGGCCCCTGTTAGCTACCGTGCACCCCGCGGGGCTCTTCTGGGCACCGCCCGGTGCTCGCCGTGGGCGCGCGCAGCCTCCTCCCCGGGCCCGACCCCGCGGGGCCCCGGGCCACCTGGACGCCCTTCCCTAGCGTCGCGGGTTTACGCGCGGCGGCCTCCCCGAGAGGTGTCTCGGGGCTGTCCCCGCAGCGTCCCTCTCCGGG